CAAAAATCTAAATTTACAAAACCTGAATCAGTGAAGCGCCATAAGGTTGACACAGCCATGATGTTGGCTATGTTAAAATGATGTTTACCTACAAATATATGTTATCGCCCACTCTTATATGGTTTCAAAAGAAGTACAGTAAATATTATGACCAGTCAATTGTAACTATGGCTTTCTGGTCAATTTTACAGACTGAATCATGTATTTTGTATATATGTGTATTATATATATAAGAGTAATGTACACATACACATAAGTGGAGCATGGGAATGGAAATTGTAACATTTGCGAGTATTGATTTCTTTCTTCTACACCGCTACAACCCCATACACATAAGTGGAGCATAGACGTTTGCTAATTTCTTACACCGGTACAACCGATGTGTATCAAGGGAATCCTACGATGTGAAACAAGGGAATCCTACGATGTGAAACAAGGGAATCCTACGATTACTGACTGAAGTGGTATTTAATAAATAGAAAATCTCACCCAAGTGTCTTCTGATATCAATTGTATCAACACGAGTTGATAATGTTACAAACACCCGAGGCTTGCCGAGGATATTTTAACTTTGTTTAACGAGTGTTGATATATTTGATCTCAGAAGACACGAGGGTGAGATTCTATTTATCATCCAATATCACTCTTCGTTAATTTTCAATGAACAATGTACATCTCTGAACACGGTACTGCCATTAGATTTGCAGTGCAGCCTAGGACGTTATCAAGTGATCTCACGTAAGCGATTCTCAGGGCATTGTACACAATCTACTGTCAAAATGATATCTCCTAGGAGATATCGTTTGATCTCACACAAGCGATATCTCCTGTGGAACACAGTTTTGGATAATAAATGGAGAACATGATTTGGTTACAGCAAGCACCATTGTGGTATTGGGAGTACACTTCACCACATGAAAAGCACTGGGTACTGGGAATACAACACGACATAAGAAGCACTGGATAATAGAACACTACCTCACATGAGAAGCACTGGGTACTTGCAGTACACTATCCCACATCAGAAGCACTGGATATTGGGAGTACACTATCTGTCATAAGAAGCCCTGGGTATGGGATTGTAATGAAATATTTTTGTGGTCTAATTAATTGGGCTCACTGAGATCGGACTGCAGTTCCATCGACATGTTGACAGTGACACTGGAAATGACCTCGTGTGACCCGGGTCTGCAATTCTATGTGATGAATTTGCCCTAACCTTTACAATGAAGCATTGGACTCTGCGGGACCCCGTGCGATGACGTCATCAGTGTTATAAATAGGGGGAAGGGGGCGCACGTGCCGAGGTGCAGACGTGTTGAGATGGCTGGACAGAGGCAGTAAAAATTGTAAGTCCGTAGATTTGGTCACACAAATAGTTATAGTAGACACTTTGTGTCACTTGGGTCACAGGTAACTTGCTATTCTATCAATCACTACTGTTCATATTTCATTGGTGGAAATTGCATATTTTCCGTGTTTTGTTGCACACTACCCCACATAAGAAGCACTGGATATGGGAGTACACTACCCAACATAAGAAGCACTGGATATGGGAGTACACTACCCCACATAAGAAGCACTGGATATGGGAGTACACTACCCAACATAAGAAGCACTGGATATGGGGGAGTACACTACCCAACATAAGAAGCACTGGATATGGGAGTACACTACCCAACATAAGAAGCACTGGATATGGGAGTACACTACCCAACATAAGAAGCACTGGATATGGGGTAATACACTACCCAACATAAGAAGCACTGGATATGGGAGTACACTACCCAACATAAGAAGCACTGGATATGGGAGTACACTACCCAACATAAGAAGCACTGGATATGGGAGTACACTACCCCACATAAGAAGCACTGGATATGGGGATACACTACCCAACATAAGAAGCACTGGATATGGGAGTACACTACCCAACATAAGAAGCACTGGATATGGGAGTACACTACCCAACATAAGAAGCACTGGATATGGGAATACACTACCCAACATAAGAAGCACTGGATATGGGAGTACACTACCCAACATAAGAAGCACTGATATGGGAGTACACTACCCAACATAAGAAGAAGCACTGGATATGGGAGTACACTACCCCACATAAGAAGCACTGGATATGGGGAGTACACTACACAACATAACCCCACTGGATATGAGAGCACTGAAGCACTGGATATGGGAGTACACTACCCAACATAAGAAGCACTGGATAGGTGTACACTCACCCCACATAAGAAGCACTGGGTGTACACTACTGGATATGGGGAGTACACTACCCCACATAAGAAGCACTGGATATGGGAGCACACTACCCCACATAAGAAGCACTGATATGGGGAGTACACTACCCAACATAAGAAGCACACTGAGTATGGGTCAGTACACTACCCAACATAAGAAGCACTGGATATGGGAGTACACTACCCCACATAAGAAGCACTGGATATGGGAGTACACTACCCCAACATAAGAAGCACTGGATATGGGAGTACACTACCCAACATAAGAAGCACTGGATATGGGAGTACACTACCCCACATAAGAAGCACTGATATGGGAGTACACTACCCCACATAAGAAGCACTGGTGTATGGGTGGTACACTACCCCACATAAGAAGCACTGGATATGGGGACTACAAAACAGACGACGCCTCTAAGATGATGAAAAGGTGAAAATTCACATGCCTATAGACAAAGAGTTCGCCAACTCTGAAGCGTGTTTTGACGATGACGTACACGTCGATCGAGTTCATCCCTTTGGTGTTCTATCAGGTTTAGATCTGGTGATGGGGAAGGCCATGGCAATAGAGTGACGTTAGAATTGGCACTGTAGCGTGCTGCATGTGAAGTAGCGTTGTCACACTGAAACTCGGAAGCATAATCGGAGCATGTGACGTGCAAGGACTTCGTTGATCTACCGATTTGCTGTCAATGACCCATGAACTACCACTAAATCGGATCTTTGTGTGCTGGATATCCATGACACTGGATCCACCGAATCTGTCAGCTCGTCCAATGCAATTTTGAGGCAAAACATTTCTCAGACGGTAAACACGCTGTTTTCAATCTCGCCGGTGAAGAGTAAGTCATGATTCATCACAGAAACACCAGATTCGCCTCCAGTAAGGTTCCAGTTCCGGACTCTACCACACCACCTCAAGCGATTGCGCCGATTGAGGTCTCTCAAAACGCAAGCGATAACTGGCCTTCTTGGTCAAATCCCCACTTCACGCAATTGATTCCTGACAGTTTGGTCAGAAATTCTTCCGAAACCAGGGATGCGTTATGCAGTATCCGGCTGTGGGAAGACGATGACACAAGTGAACAACCCGGATGTAGCGGTTCTGGGCTAGGGTGGTAACTCTAAGAAGGCCGCTTCTCGGGCGATCTTGGGCGGAATTGGTCTGCAGTTTTCTTGGTGATATTTTGGCGACTATTTATTCAAATGCTTCTAAAACAAGGGAAAAAGTGAAAAATGGCCGCGGGTTGGCCCTGAAGCTGTTTACAATCACACAAAGATGACGTTTTGGAAAGAAATGGTATATTTGTATTGTTTTTGCAGCAGCTACATGAGTCCAGTATTCTCAAAATCACCTGTGTGTATGTGTTAAGTATGCAAGTGTATCTTCCCTATAAAGACATATACACATATTGACTCTATCGGTGAACATATACATTACATATCAAATGACACATGTTTCACTCATTGTTGGTTTGTAGGAACAGCAATGTCGACGTTCATGAGGTCAGATATCTTGGGCAATATTAGTAATCACATAACTGTCAGACATCTTTGGGAGTGTTAGTCATCTCATAAAGTTAGTGAGTGAGTGTGATTTTATGCCGCGTTTAGCAATATTCGAGCAATATCACGACGGGGGCTACCAGAAATGGGTCTCACGGATTGTGCCCATGTGGGTAATCGAACCCGGGTCTTCAGCGTGACAAGCTGACGCTTCTACCACTTGGTTACCCCACCGCCCTTCATCACATAAATGTCAGATATCTCTGGATTTGTTGGTTATCACGTAAAAGTCGGATGTCTTTGGCAATGTCAGTAATCACCAGAAGAAACAGACTGAGGAGATGTGAAGGGAATGACCTTCTTGGAATGACATGGAGATAATGGAGGGAGACAGGTTGAAGAGTGACAGCGTTGCTTCCAGCGGGGGTAGATGAAAGTGTGGAGCTAAGGTTTGTCTATCAGGGTAAGAAGCGGCCTAAGGTAGGGGTGAGGACGGGACATGGATAACCTGACACTGGTGTTACAGCGTGGCGTGACAGCCCAGTAGTTAAAGCGTTCGAGGTCCCGGGTTCGATTCCATCATAGGTAGAGTGTGTGAAGCACATTAGTAAGTGAGTGAGTTTAGTTTTACGCCGGAATGAGCAATACTCTATCTATATGGCGGCGGTCTGTAAATAATCGACCAGACAATCCAGCGATCAACAGCATGAGTATCGATCTAAGCAACTGGGATACGATGACATATGTCAACCAACTTAGCGAGTCTGACCACCCGATCCGTTAGTCGCCTCTTACGACAAGCATGGGTTACTGAAGATCAATTCTAACCCGGATCTTCACAGGTCGATACAAACATGAAAGAGGAGAATGTGACACGCATACCCTAGAATGACCTACAGACTCAGACTGTTAGTATTACCATCGCATCATGATTATTAATCCGCTACCAAAGCACTCCTCGTGGATGCCGCGGATTGGGGAGATACCACAGCCGTCTTGATGACAACGGGAACAACCAGTCAGATCTGGGAAATCAGGTCACGCATGGTCGGCTTTTAAAACACAAAGTGAAACTATTTAACGCAGGAAATTTAATCAAAGTTGTTCTGATAGTTCCATATCATTTGGCACATGGGTAACAGCTGCAGATACAATGTATGTATTGCATAAATATAGATGTACACCACAACTCCCATATCACGAGGCCGTGTGTCAAGCCGTGTTTACCGACAAACACGCTGGGTTAGGGAGTCAGTGCACTGCTAGCTCCGCTATCATACAGGCAACACGACGGAGTGCGGGGTCTGAACGGTATTCCAACAGGACTCTTCTCCCCCGATAGATGCGTTGTACACCAAGGTAAGTGACAGCCATAACACAACCAGTGGGTCTAAGTTTGTAGGAAGCATATTAACACTAGGTAAGTGACAGCCATGACACAACCAGTGGGTCTAAGTTTGTAGGAAGCATATTAACACTAGGTAAGTGACAGCCATAACACAACCAGTGGGTCTAAGTTTGTAGGAAGCATATTAACACTAGGTAAGTGACAGCCATGACACAACCAGTGGATCTAAGTTTGTAGGAAGCATATTAACACCAGGTAAGTGATAGCCATAACACAACCTGTGGGTCTAAGTTTGTAGGAAGCATATTAACACTAGGTCATGGACAGCCATAACACAACCTGTGGGTCTAAGTTTGTAGAAAGCATATTAACACCAGGTATGTGACAGCCATAAGACAACCAGTGGGTCTGTGTTTGTCAACCAGTGGGTCTGTGTTTGTAGGAAGCATATTAACACCAGGTAAGTGACAGCCATAACACAACCAGTGGGTCTGTGTTTGTAGGAAGCATATTAACACCAGGTAAGTGACAGCCATAACACAACCAGTGGGTCTAAGTTTGTAGGAAGCATATGAACACCAAGGTATGCGACTGCCAATGACACAACAGTTACTGCTCCGTGTACCTGTGTTTGTGGGGGGTATACGCGAGAAACAGTGTCTTGCGTAAACAATGCACATGAGTTAAAGCCTGGGGCAAAACAAGGTGCGCTACATCTGTATGCCATCAGGATTCGCCTGTATTAATTGTTAGACGACTGACATGTATGTGAACATACATGACAATAATTGCTACAACGCCCTCCAACACCCCCAGGCGCGTAGCAAGCCAATTTTTTCGTGTAAGCCCGATATGTTGCAAAGCTTATTTTCAGATAGGATTGATGGCTTGCCCGACCTTTTTAGCAACAATCTTGTGTAAGCCCAGGCTTTTTTTATAATGGTAGCTACGCCCTTGACTTCCTTACAGGACCCTCTCCATCCGCCAACCATCACCCTTCCCAAGCCCGCGACATAGAGCCTCCTCATTATCATAACACCCTCACCCTCTTACAGTTCTATACGACTTGGCGCCACCTGACTGTAATACCGGTATGCCCTCGTCTCAACCTTGAGAAGTCCCGACCATCGTAAGACGTGAGAGCATTATATCCCCAAGGTAATGTACTGACATGTGTGGCTGTAAATCTGCAGTTTTATCTGCAGTATGGCGGGTTCTCTAGGACATACAAACATTCCTGTTTGCACGATACAGGCAAATAAGACTTGAACCTGTCGCCCGACATTCACACATCCCGGAACTTCTATGCAGGACTGAAACACCTTCAATATCTTGTTTTCATATGTGTCCCAAATTTCAACTCAATCTGTATGGACGGGATACATGAAAGTATAATCTGAATTATCCAAGCTGGGGACATACAACCTAGTATCTTGTTGCAGGTAGGTCAAGGGTAGTTTTTGCAGACCGTGTACACGTGTCTACAGGACATTATTGGATCGATGTTAATATGCGTGGTGTCATTCATGGCTTCAGCAGAGATTATTAATCTAACTAAATAATACTAAATAATATACTGGACAAAAATAGTTAGGGATATATGTAAATTTTGAAATTATGAGTAATGATCTGTTTATTCGTTGACACACTGATAAAATATCAATCATAAAAATACCAATATCCCTAACTTATTTTGTCCAGTATATTACCCAATATATTGATGTCGTTAACAGTCACTGAATGTTTACAGTATGTTTGCTTGTTTGCTGTTTAATTCCGCACACAGCAATGCTCCACCTATATGGCAGCGGCCTGTAAGTAACTGTATCTGGACCGGACAATCCAGTGATCAACAACATGAGCATCAATCTATGATCAAATGGGAAACGATGACGTGTGTCAACCAAGTCAGCGAGCCTGATCACCCGGTCTCGCTAGTCGCTCTTATGCCAATCATGGGTTGCTGAAGACCAATACTAACCCGCATCTTCACGAGTCGAATGTTAGTGAGCGAGCGTGGTCTTACGCCGCTGTTAGCAATATTCCAGCAACATCCCGACGAGAGACACCAGAAATGGGCCCAGAAAGATTGTACCCATGTGGGGAATCAAACCAGGGCCTTCGGTGTGACCAACGAACGCATTAACCATTTGGCTACCCCACCGCTCCTAGGTCGAATGTTAAGACACTATCACAGAAACTATACCCGATGACTGTTCGAGATTAACGCTACAAACATGGCTATATTCAGTATTCAGGTATGTAAGCCATCAAACATGACAGCTGTTCATAATGTAGCAATGTCACGATATCACATCGTGTGTCTACGGAACTGGCACATGTCACTCTTTAATGTATCACTGTGATTTTTAATACCACTTGTTTATACTATGCTACTTTAAACTGTCTCTATTATCTCATAACTAGCACATGTCACATCCAATATATCACTGTGATTTTTAATACCACTTGTTTATACTATGCTACATTAAACTGTCCCTATTATCTCATAACTAGCACATGTCAACATCCAATATATCGGTGTGATTTTTAATACCACTTGTTTATACTATCCTACATTAAACTCTCCCTGTTATCTCATAACTAGCACCCGTGAAATTCCGGGTTAGAATATCGATCTTCAGTAACCCATGCTTGTCGTAAGAGGCGACTAACGGGATCGGGTGGTCAGGCTCGCTGACTTGGTTGACGCATGTCATCGTATCCTATTTGATCGTAGATTGATGCTCATGTTGTTGATCACTGCATTGTCTGGTCCAGAATCGATTATATACAGACTGCCGCCATATAGCTGGAATATTGCTGGGTGCAGCGTAAAACTAAAATCACTCACTCACTCGTATAACTAGCACATGTCACCCTTTAATATATCACTGTAATCTTAAGTACCACGTGTTTATACTATGGTACATTAAACTCTCCCTATTATTTCATGTGATTTCACTCATGAAAATGATGTAATGTGTCATTCAGACACGTAAAACGAATGATATATAAAGCTGAGGCTTAAAATGAATGTTCTTTCACTCTATTTTATGTTAACCACTTTGGAGCCGTGCCCATTTCTACTTGTTAGAGGGGTACACAATGTATGCTATGTAGACAACCAACTGTCCTACTTTCATTTTTGTGGAAGCCACAGTGGCTGAGTGAGTTTGATCGCTGACTTTTTATGCTGGCGATTACGCGCCTGACTCTGAGGGCGTGGATCCGAATCCCCCTATGGGACTCAACCCTAAAAACTACTAGAATCTGAACTTTACTAAGAAAGAATAATCCCAGGTGTTACATTCAATCAAGCGAATCAGAAGAAAACACACACACACACACACACACACACACACACACACACACACACACACACACACACACACACACACACACACCGCTTGTATTAATGGATTGTACAAATTAACAAATGCAAGCATACTTTCAGAAAAGGAGTGCTGTAATTAAACTAAACAGCTGGTAGTTAAAAGCAGATATTTTTGGATGTGAGGTGTACCCGGTATTTTGCTCCTTCATCAGATGATAGGTCGGTCACAGGACCATAAAAATTAACGTTGTTGTCACGTGACTGAATTCTTGAAATGACGTTAACACTGACGGATTACTTCCACTTTCGTGAAAAAGCCCCTTGAGAGTTTACAAGTATGAATCATTACTGAAGTGTTGTGTGATCAGTTTGACCCTTTGAATGCAAACCGTAACGCGTTAGCAATAAATGGGACAAGTTTGAGTGTCTATTTGCACGCCCATTCAGGAATACCGTCGCTCCGACCGATCCAAGTGAACGAATCGAAGAAATGAACTGATCAGTGTTTTAACTGACACGTGGCGATCTTCATCATACACATTTGCCCTAGTTGACATTTGAGACGTTTATATTGTCACATTTCAATTATCGGCCAGTTGATCAATAGTGATACAACAATTTTGACGTCCTGTCGTTAATGTAAATATATCACAACCCGCTGTCATTGTGACTGAGGTAGTTCGGATGTAAGAGCTTGCGGAACGGACGCATGCACGTACGCACGACGCACGCACAGACACTCACTCGGGATCCGGGCCTGTACTTAGGACCGGACACAAGCACGTACGCACTTGCGGACGCACATACACTCACTCGCGGTTCCGGGCCTGTACTTAGGACCGGACGCAAGCACGTACGCTCCTGCGGGCGCACGGACACTCACTCAGGATAGGGGCCTGTTCCTGAGAGACAAGCTATGTGCAGATATGAGAACTCTCCCCATACCATTCAGGATTCATAGCAACATATAACGTTGTCATAGCAACAACCGTCCATCTTTTCTATAATCATCAAGTCAATTTACCTAAGTAATACCATTTGAAGGAAATAAAAATATGGTTCAGAAACTTGTTTATCAATTCCTGGCACCACAGTTGCTAGGTACGATCTCAATGTCTTTCAGGTCATCACTGTACACCTTCGGCAGTCACGTAAACGACCTTGACACAGATAACTAGAGCCACTTTCACTGTACAAAAACTGGGCAAATGTAAATAATGGCGGCCTCCGCGTGTGATACGTTTGAGATCCCTGCATACCTGTATGCATGTGAGCACAGCTATGTTAACTGCACATACTCTTCATGTGAATAATAACCTGTTAACTGTATCTGCACTTATGTTTGTATATTTTTAAAATGTTTAATAATTTTTTGGTACAATTTTACTCTTTTACCCTATCACATATACTGAATTATGGTTATAACGAAATCTGAGGGACCACTAATCTGAGTTTGCCGTAACCGGGGGAGGTGGGGTAGCCTAGTGCTTATAGCGTACGCTCGTCACGCCAAAGATCCGGGTTTGATTCCCTGCATGAGTGAACCACACACCACCACCACCCGCTAAAAGCGGCGTAAAGCCATACTCACTCACTCACTCGTTGTTGTAACAGTAGTTCGCTGTACGCATTTCGACCTGTATATGATGTAATATATAAGCAAATATACCCGTT